TTAATTATGTATATTTGATATATATATATATATATATATATATATATATATAAATGTTTTAAAAAAATCATGGCCTTTCTTAGTCATAGATCTAAGGTAGTCTCACCTCTAGCAACTAAACTCAAATTTATTAGTTAAGATCTCTTGTATAAGTCCTATAAATGAAAGAAATGTAATTGAGAAAAAAAAATTATTAAAAGAAGCCGGTTAGAGTTTTTTGTAGAGATTTCAACAACAAAATTTAGTAAATATTTCACATCAATAACATAGTGATGCAGAAATATTCATTTTTATATAATAATTTTTTTATAATATAAATTATATTATAATGAATAAAATTTCTAACGATAGGTACAATTGAGTTCTAACCATATGTTAGAAATGCATCAGAAGTTTGAACTCGCACACTTTTATTCAATGCAGGGGAAAAGCTTACAATTTAACAACTTTAAAAATCAGATACATCGAAATAATTAAGGAGGGGAATGTGATGAAAGGATTTAATGTCAAACTCTGAGCTGAGGACATGCATTCTTAATTAAGCCATCGACCATTAAACAATTTCTTCCCTAAGAACATGGTACGTACCATTTAACTTCCCAATTCTGATCATAAAGTTAATATGATGATTTTATGACGACCATAATAATTTAATGAATTCAAATTTGATTAAATTCAAGAAATATATAATTCTATGGAAAGCGTTTGTCTGTAATAACTACAACAATGAATATCACATGAATTTAATTTGAATGAGAGTTACTTATAATTGAAACTCATGGTCATTTATTACCAGCCTTAGAGCTTAATTAGTTTTGAAGGAGAGCTGCATATAAAAGCAAATTCCAAGTGTCAGGAAGACCAGGTAGACACCAGTGGCTGCAATCCATGTCCCTGTGTCCACCATGTCCATAAACAGAAGGGTGACCATCTTTCCTCATCTGTGACAACGTTGTAATATTTAGCAAATACACATGCTTTGACTTTGACATGCCTCCTAACACTTTCTCTAACACTAACTCAGCTGGGTGTGTACCCCCTGGATACTCAAATCCAAATACTGGCACCGTTTGCCCCTCACAGAATCTTGCACTTGGCTGCCCCCATTTTGCTCCACTGCATTAGTTGACACAAAGTGAAAGTGATCAATGGCAATTCTCCAAATTTCTACATTAATAGATAAACTTAATTACATGCATTATTATAAGTATATCGTTGTTATTTTCTAATCAGAATCATAATTTTAACTCAATGACAATTGTAATAGAAGATTCTATTAAATGTCAATACATGTTACAAAATCCAATTCTGATAAAAAAAAAAAGAAGCACCATTAGTACTGAGTTCTGTTCTATATTAATTTCTTGTTTAATTTTTGTACTTATGCATGAGCTATTCTCCTTTGTCAAAAGTGGTTTTACTAAATAGCTTCATTTTTGTCACTATAATAATTCATTTGAAAAATGGCTTTAAAGAGTTTTGTTAATGTTCATACAATTATGGTCCATTTTGGTGGTGGTGGGACAGATACATACTTGAGATGATCTGGAGATACTCCTTGAAAGAAAACCCTTGTTTTGTTAGGGTCAACATTGTCTTCAACCCATTTGGCCCATGTTTTCAAGCCTTTCTCATAAGCAACCAAACGATCCATGTCCTTGTATGTATGATTTCCTTCTTGAATGAAATCCCATCTGCAAAGTTGAAGAATAAGAAGACTTCATGATGTTTAAAATGTTAAGCTTGCATGCATGTGGAATTTTACGTACGGTTGTTTTCTTCCTACGTGAAGCCACCAATGCCAAGAGTCGAATATCAGTATGTCATTTCCTTTCCACATTTTTCCACCTTCAATTGAATCTAACTTCAGAACTCTACCAATACTCTCATTTACAGTATCCACCAAAAATGCGTTACGGGAAAGCATCACCTTAACATCATAACTCTGCGTATTACGTGCCATGCAGCAAACAGTGAATCATATGGTATTTGACTGAGAACTCAAATTATATTATATGAATTGTTGTATGAATAATATTCTCTTTCTACAATAATTTCGTTTAATACTAATCTTCTATCTCTTAGGGTCACATCACTTGTCTTGTCATCTTCTCTTCTTATCTCTTTCCATAAATTGTTGTAAAAATAACATTATCTATCACTTCTTCATAGAAGTATTCTAAGGAAATTGGCCTAGAAAACCATTGTACTAGACAGGGGTCCTCTGTCAAACTAGACCAGCGCCTGATATTACAAAATACCAATCACAACTCAACCACACATTACATGCATATGCATGGTTAACCACTAGGTTGTGGGCCAATGTAATGATTAGGACTTGGTTCAATAATCGAACAGATAAACACCAAGTTCTTTTATCAATATTTCGATTAGATCAATAATTTGCTCTGTTTCACAGTTTGCTTGGAGTGAGTCCTTTACAATCTCTAAAATAATTTAAATGAGAAATCTCTCTTATCTTATAAGTAACACGACAATATCATGTAATAAGAAAGTGAGACATAAAATTAATTATAATACCACTTGTCATTATTCATCTAGGTTCTATTAGCGTTATTGTTATGTCTTCTCATTCGTTATGTGACATTATTACATTACTAGTTAACATGAACAAATTCAAATGAAGTTATTGTGGTTAAAACCTTGACAATGATTATGGATATAGTAACTAATAGAAGACACGAGCAAGGAAGAAAAGTTAATGTAACAGAGATCTAACCGGGAAGGTGAAGGTAGATAAGCCTCCGGTTCTAACTGAAGTGTAATTTGCATGTGGCACAGCTATGTGAAGCATGCAAGTGAGTGATTGCCATTGATTCAAACTCAAAGAGTCCCCCACGAACAGGATACTTTTCCCTCTAAGTCTTCTCAAGAAATCTTCACCATTGAATCTGTGCACAAACTAAGTTCATTCAAGTCCAAGGTGGGTCCATTTAAATTAATTGATTATGTGACCATATTAATGACCATTTAGTTAGTATTTTGGAGTGATCAAATGTAGCATGTGCTTTCTATTTAAGGACAGAACAGGTGAAAGCAACGTTACAACAGTGCACTTAACTTTATATATATGTTGGTTGAAATTAAATATGTAAATATAAAGCCTGACAACCGAAGCCAACCATTTGGTGAGGAACACCTTTCAGAGTCCAGCAAAAAAGATGACAGATTAATTCTAGCTAGGAACATTAGTGTCTTCTGGTAATTAGTCAAAGGTTCACGGTATTATATATCATCGTTGGAAAAACATTTTAAAAGTACAAGTATATTCATAGTTGATTTTTAACAAAATAAAATCTCCATGTACTTTATATATATACACGCTTTACATTAAAGCTCACTTTAGAAAAATCATTTCCATTAGTATGATTAATAGTAGGTAAGAGCAACCCAAATAAGTTGAGGATTTGCCAATAAGCTTGTATCTCTAATGAAAAAAATAGAAAAAAATATTATAAAATTATCAAATAAATAATATAACTATAATTTATACTTTCTATAGTGTCTTTATTATGATTGGTGGTTAGCCCTTTTAAGTGGCTTAGAAAACAAGTAAATCGTTTTCCTCTAACATGTGGTTTTCTCTTAATTGCAGTAACAAGTGGACCCCAAAGAAAAGTGAAATCTACATCAAATGTCATATTCAAGTCAATGTCCGCTGTTAAAATAATTTCAATTTTCAAATTCAAATATATGAGAGTTTAGTTAGATTTTAAAAGATATTGATTATTTTAAAATATTATTTAAAATTAAAATATATTATATTTATTTTAAAAAAAAATTAAAAAAATTAGAATATAAATACAATAAATAGATAATATTGAGATGAGAATCACAAAAGATTATATGAAAAAGGTTTTTCAAGTTTCGCCAGAAAACTTGAAAAAGAGTTTTCAAGTTTTGTTAAAAAACTTGTAAGAGAAAAGTTTTCAAATTTTACCTATAAAACTTGAAGGAAAAATTTCTTAAAAGACACATGTAATACATTTTCAAATAATGAATATTATTGTAGACGCAGATATGAAATATCAAACCAAGTTAAATAAAATTTTGTGTGATTTTTTTCATTTCTTTATGAAGTTGACTTATTTAAATTCTCTCATCCTTATCCGTGAAGAGAGAACTATTTTTGTTGATATAGAAGAAATCCAAAACTAATGTTAACCTTTTGACTCGTTGCTTGATCTCAGTGTTATTTTACTGATTTTTATCGAAAACATAATTAATTCTCAAAAAAGAAGCACTGATTAGTGGTTGATTGGTACTCTTTACATATTGTGTCCCAAAATTTTAATTTGAGAGCACAATTATTTACAGTGGAGTTGTTTATAGTTATTTCTTCTCTAGCATCAACTGTATAAAACCATGACGGAAATTACCGTTGAATTTGTTGAAATTCAATGACCTGAATATGTGTGGTGAGTCTTTTCTAGCTCTCAAATGGCCATCACAAGTATCCAATTAATCTAAGTTACGAAAAACAATAAAATTTTGCGTATTTCGATCTTGGAGTTCCTAATTACAAATAGAAAAAGACAAGAGTACAGAACATGTATTTTTATCTCAGGAAGACTAAATTGTAACACATGCCAAATGATAGAGAAATCTAAATTTGATTTGAAGAAAAGGGGAGGAATGATCAAATGGTACTATGTTGTCCTATAGCTTAGCTGGTTAAACAATGTGTTTGAATTGTTATAAACTCTCTTATACCGAGGTTAATTCTCACAGATAAAAATAAATGATACTACGTAATGAAAATGTAACTAAAAATAGGAAATAAAGGGTGTGTACCTTGGTAAGTTGCAGCTTTTGGGCTGCCATCTGTACTTGACATAGAGTTGATCAGGACGACCATTCTTTTGGCAATCAAATTCCTTGATAATAAATGGACATTGTGAGGTATTATAAAGAGGGTATGAATCATCAATAACCCAGTTACCTTGAAACAAATCACAACTCAGTGAATTTCCTCTTGCCTCTTTGTGATGATTATTGCCATGTATATGAATGAAAAGCAAAATGAGCAGCACAATCAATATCCCCATTAGTGTGGAAACTGAAAACAAGGATTGAAAAGGTGGCAGGAGTGGTTGGTGGAGTTTCAATGTAATTGTAAATGACAAAGTATATGGAGGGTATGCTTCCCTTTCTAATTTATTGTGTTTGGAATTTTATTAGCAACTGTGGCATAATGGTTGAATAATTGAATTGATATATGCCAAAATGGTGATGAAAAGATTGATTGAAAATTTTTCTATACTGGTGGATAGACTTGTGCATAAATTGTTATAATAGAGGACTACAAGTGAGACAAGCAAGAGAGGGAGATGGCACTTGAAATGGATAGGAACCAAGAATTAATCAGAAAGAATCTTCCTACATATGGAGGTTACATAATGAAGTTTGCACTTGAAATGGTTTAAGTGGGCCCCACCTCCCAAGGGTGGCATGCAGTGCTCTATCCAATATTCATAGTAGTTAGAAAACGAGTGGAGGGAGGAAAGAATATCATATGTGAAACTTTCTTTTTTCTTTAAAATTATAAATATTATTAAATTTTCAGTGTGTAACTGTGCAAGAGAATTAGGAAAATTTGATTACTTCACATTGAAAATTCCACATTAATCAGTGAGATAATCATAATAATGTTTATAAGTGGTGAGTAATTCTCATAACTTTGCTTCTTAAGATGGTATAATATGTAAAAATCTTAAACTTTTTTCCTTGATTTTAATTGAATATCCAAAATGGTGTGTTGGAGTAATGATAAAATACTGCATCTAGCTTTGAGTATTGTCCTATCAGTATCAGTTATACCAGACAAACTTGCAACAGTTACCGATTTTACTTTCTAGACTAGCTTTCAATTTTCATGAGTTATATTGGATTTTTTTTTACTGAATATTGGATATTTTCACATAAATGTTGGCCAGTTATAGAAATTCATGTAATGGCTCTGGCCAGTTTGCAATCTTAATAATATTTCTTCTTTTTTTAAAAAAAAAAAAAAACTATAGTACAAGGTGTACTATTGATACCGGTACATGAAAAGGTTACAAAAGGCTGCATATAAACAAAGATATGAAGTGCTCTTTGGCTCTAATTTTTTTCCCATGTAATAATTTTCAAAACTTATTCCTTTATGGCTTCTTGATCTTTGATGTCATTAATTACACAAATGAATTATAAGTCTAATTCAATTTAACAAAAGGTATTTATTAAGAGAAGATTATTTTTCACTTATATATACTATTAGCAATTACATTAGATAAAAAGAACTTTAAAACAAGATAGAACAAAATTGTTTCCACCAAATAACAGTAGCTATGATGACTACAAAGGTGATAGGTGACACCAATAATAAAAATGACAATTGTCGTAATGATGATAGAAACAATAATTATGACAATATCATTGATATTAGGAAATGAAATTATGATAATAGATGTGATTATTATAATCAAATCTTATATTTTAATATAAGAGTAGAGATCGATCATTCTGATTTTTTTGAAAGAAGATTATTCTCATATTTATTCTTTTCTTCTGTCAATTTAAAAAATAAGATTTCAAAGGGAGGAGAACGTCATGATGCATGAGGACATTTTCTGTTCAACAATAAAATTGTATATGAAGTCAAAATTAACCCATCATCTGTTCATTTACATATATGAATATAAATATAGGAATAGGGCATGACATGGCTCATGCAGAACAATGCCCATTTCCTCTCCATTTATATGCTAGAGGTATACGTATACATATATGTGGTACAAATCAATACTGCTCAGTCACACTCAAACTTTAGGAACCAGAATTTGTAGAAACCCATCCCTGAAAATGGAAAAAGAAACAACAAATTATCAGCTTCAAATGTATAAAGGTACAGCACATATCTTTGAACTTTTAAGGTTACAATTTGACTCACCATTTTCTGTTATTATAAGAGATCACTAACATTCTATTGTTGGCTTTTCGCAGTGTGAAAACTTAAAACCAAAATCTCCAAAGAGAAGTTCTTCCTAATGTATGTTAATTACCAAGGTACTATTTTATTACTACTTCCAAATTGAAAGGTGATTAATATTGAACTTCTATAATCATTTAAGAGTCTTGCAGGTGACCAAGAAACCAAAATTACTAGAAAATGCAACAGACCAAATTATGAAAGTTTTTGAAAAAATGTGTGTAAATATAGTTTGTGAAACGAGTTAAATTAAAATATAAGGCTATAACCAAGAAACATATGATATAACTTACAAAAATTCAGCTGATATTCTGTCCTTGTTCACACCAGCAGGAAGCTGCCAGACCACCTCATATGGTCCATATAGTATTTCCCTCCGATGATATGAAGAAAATGAAGCATTTGGACAACCTGACATTGTCCAAGAGCTAGTAGAACGTCTACCTTTGACACACAACCTGTCACAGTTCACATATTGCCTCTTTTATCACAGAAAACAGATCCTATACTTCAAAAGATTTATAACCATAAATGTCCAACATTAAAACTTCCATTTAGAGTTTAGAATTTATGCATTACATTATAATGCAGAAATAACAAATAAACTTTGTAATTGTATTGACAGACTAGACCCTCCCCTGGTACACAAATGAGAGAAGAACTCAAACACAATAATGATTTATTGACAAGAGTTATATCCAACAATATTTTATTCAGCCTTGTCTTTTACAACACCACTCCCTTAGTCCCTTTTCTATTAGGAAAAACTAAATGCATACACCATAAATTGCAAAGAGTATTACAATTAATACGAGGATATATATAAGACATGTTTCTTACTTTTGATCATCAACCTCCACTCTTATGTCACTGATACTGACACCTGGAACTTCCACTGTGATCACATACTTGCCTTCTGATTCTGCAACATCCATCCTTGGAGACCACTCAATGCCTGCAAAAATTAAATGTCACAAAAATTATATACTTCTGTTTGTTAGCTAACCAGCTATTATACCTTCAAATAACATTGAGTTCAAACTGCTAACCACCAATTTCAGAATAGCACATTTTCTTTTCTGAAGGCAACTGATCTCCTCGTTGAATTTGTCTGCTTGGCCTAGAAAATGCAGGAGGATCAAGTGTACTAAAATCACAGCCCTGCCCCTGAGCCATTGGTTGGACCACTGAATTTGTAAGGACTGATTCTGCTCTTGCAGGTCTAGCAAAACATGGTGCTCTTGCATTAGAAGGACATTCAGATGCAGCAGCACCATGGCTTTTTGGAGCAACAAAGGAAGTTGAGCCACCCTGAAAATTTATTGAATTAAATAAGCCAGCGAGAAATGAATTGTTTACAAAAAAGTATAAAAATTACATAGAACAGTGAATGTATTTCAATAATAAGAACACTCAAGTACCTCTTCTTCAATTGAAGTCTGCCTCATAAAGTAACCAAGAGAAGCAGATGCTTGGCGCGCAAAATACACCTTATTATCGCATCTCCGGAGCACAGAGTTCAGACTGCCACTGCAATTCTGAAAGTGGTAGTTGATGAACAAAATGAATTGAAACAAATTTTCAAGAAACAAAAAAGGATACTATAGACAGATTATTTTATTAGTGGTCTGCTAAAAATATATATATAGAAAGTAAAGAAAGTGTAGCATACGCATATTCTGAATTAATTTCCTCACAGAACTGATTTATTCTGTCCTTTTGGTTAAGGAAATCCTGCGAGCTTACAAAAGCATTCAAAAAGGGACAAAGATGAAACAAACACTAGGGTTTTAAAAATTTGAAGTTGATTGTAGCCTACAAAAATGCATTGATTTGATAGTGTTCAAGTAAAGAAAAGGCCAACTTGAATAATTAAATTTCCAATACTGAATCTCAAGATCAATAAACACATGAGCATAATTAATAGTAACATCAACGCAAGCTAATACTTCTCATAAATGCAAATATGCAATATCAGTGAGATCAAATTATTCAAAACTAGCTACACAATGACATCAATTGATGAAAGGGCATTCCTTGTATTCAAAACCAATGAACAATCTACTTTCATTCTTTAGCCAATAAAAAATAAAAGAAAAATATTTGTCCACTTTACAATACTCAAATAGTCAAATATATACAGTGTGATTCTCCCATGATTACAATTTACAACAAATGAGGATCCCTATTAGATGGCTTTTCTGTTTAAATGGAAAGGAGAACAAAGGCTACTTAAGCTCTGAATCCCAACAAAAGGTGAGGAACAAAAGTTCAATACCATCTTTCCCCCACCTACTAACAATATCTAACTAACTAACTTATAATTCCTGTGTCATAAAACCCCATAATTGAATTCAAAATAAATTCCTTTATTTTCCATCATTATATAGGAAACCAACCACAGTAACAAGAAAATAGTGTTGATGAAAATAAATAAAAGGGCATAATATATTACCATAGGCAGAACATGGGTAGTTGAAATATCATCAGTGGGTGCAAAATGGGCAGCAATCATGTGAATTCTGCGTTTCACCAACTCACTCTCCATTTCTACGTACCAATGAAATGGTTCACAAAAAAATCAGCTGAACGGATAATGCAGGAAGCATCAGAGGATCAAGAATATATGCAGAGGGAGTCAATTCTGAATGGAAGATATTTTTAAGAAAAGAACATTAGTAGGGCCTATTGAATCTAAATATCTTTGTGAAGATAATGAAATATGGCATGCCACCTGGAAATATCAGTTCAGTACAGTTTGAGACTGAAACACTTTCTTCTTTTAAAGTGCGATTTATCCATCATATACAAACAAAAAAGTAAATAATATATCTTATAAAAAAAATGTAATTGGAAATGTTTGATTTTTATTAATGTAATATATTATAAAGTGAGTATCAATTTATTAGTTAAAAATTATATTTTAATCATTTTATATAGTATATTTTTAACCTATGTCTGTTCTTTATTTTTTTAAAAAAAAATTTGTACGTTAAATATGATTACATAGTTTATGGAAAAAAATTAAAAATAAATAATGAACTTTTACATCAAATTTTTTCTTCATTTGAAACAAATAATACTAAACACATGACTAAAGACAAAAATCGATAATATTGTTAGCATACAAACAAAGTTTCATTGATAAAATAAGAGAAGAAATAATAATTTATAAAATATACATATACTTCATTGAATGAGAAATTTTTTGAGTGATAACTAAAAGCAAAATCGTGAGAACTTAGGCTTAAAGCGGATAATATCTCATAATTATGAAGTTATGTGTGAAATAACCTTATAAAAAAATAATAAAGTTATAACCCTTCTCTTGATATAGAATATCCCCCGAAATAAATATCAACAAAATAATCTCAACAACAGTAGTAGACTCATATGTTAGATTCAGTGACAACCAATAAAAAATAGGCACACATACTCCAATGATTAAGAAGATATAAAATAATAAAATTATAACCATTCTCTTTATAAATATAAATATCCTCTCACATAAATATCATAAAATAATCCTAACAAACATGAATAAGTATACATGAAATGAGAAAAGGGAGAAAATCATAATAGATTTAAACAGAGGTATTGATTTTTTATAGAGATGTTTAAAAACTAAATGCTTCTAGTATTTATTAAACGAGAAGTACATATTTCTGTATGTGCATACTCTGGTACAGGTTTTGGCATTAGTAACGTGTTAATTTGAAGTGTTTACGAGATGAATTTGGTACGAGTTTTATTTTTATTCTAGTTCGATTTGAAACTTTCAAATAATTTATTTAGTATCAAATTACCTCGATTCAAGACTTAATAATATATATTAATATAACTTATCTCAACATATATATAGTTAAATCATGAAATTAAAATGGTATAAAACTTAAATTAAAATATATTTTACAATAAAGATTATAAAGTGAGTTAGACTGAGAGGACCCGAAGTTTAATACTTGTTTAAAATTCGTGTTTAATTTTTAAAATTTGATTCCGTCAAAATTAGTTTCTCTAAAACAGAGAAGGTTACTAAAAGGAGATATGCAAGCTATTCTCACGATCTTACGGTAATATGTAGAAAAAATTAGGTTAAAATTTTTATTTGGTCTCTTATAATATTTTTTTTGTTTCAATTTAGTCTCACTTTAATTTTTAGTTTCAATTTGGTTCCCAATAATTTAAATTATTATAATTTGAAACTTCCGTCCAAATGATTTAAATGGAGTTAATTGTTGGTCACGTGAATGTCAGGTGGGTGCCACGTAAATGCACATGTGGATGCCAAATTTCATGAATACACGTAGAACCAGAATGGCCCGTTCTGAAACCAAAACGGCCCGTTCTGCTTGCACATGTTATGTGTTAATTTTGCAACTGAAACGGGCCGTTTCAAATGTAAATTTAACATAACACGAGTGCATCAGAACGGGCCGTTCTGAAACTAGAACGGGTCGTTCTGCTTTTAGAACGGGTCATTCTGGATTCAGCCCGTTTCTAGAACGCTAACTTCATGCTTTTTATTATATATTTTTTTCATTGTATATGTATTAATAAAAATACAATAAATTAATATTCATTTATGAATAAAACTAAAAAAAAATCAAATAAATAAGATCTTCCAAAATCCTTCTTTGATTTGAACTTATCTAGTTCAAAACCTTGACCAAAATGTCGCAATGTGATTCAAAAATTATAAATAAAAATTCATAACATATCATAAATTTAAAGACAAAAACATGGTTCAGAAACTGAAAACAAAAATTCAGAACATAACATATACTAAAAAAGTTCAAAGAAATTACTGAGAATGCACATGAAATAACATATACTGAAAAAGTTCAAAAATTCATCTTTGACTGTATAATGTCAATTTGGTAGTAAGTGATTCACTCCTGTTTGACTAACAATGAAATAAAACCTGCTACCATTGTCCTTAGTGATACACTGCATTGTCCTTAATGATACACTGTATAGCCTAAATGTTTAGCAATTGAAGTTATTAATCCCCATTGATAATATTACCAAATCTAGTGTTTGAAATGCTTTGTAACTTTTTTTTTTTTGCACAATTGTAAAATTCTGGAACCAGAACGGCCTGTTCTGAAACCAGAACGGGTCGTTCTAATTCCAGGTGTATTCAAGAAATTTGAGATCCATCTACGTGGCATCCACGTGGCCACCAGTTAACTCCGTTTAAATTATTTGGACGGAAGTCTCAAATTACAATAATTTAAATTTTTAGAGATTAAATTAAAATTAAAAATTAAAATAAGACTAAATTAAAAAAAAAATTATAAGAGACTAAATAAGAGTTTAAAAAAAAAAAATTACTAACAAGTTTGGCAGAAAAGGTGGAATTAGTAATATCACTCAAACTTACCAGAGTCCCTGTCCTCTGGCTTACGAGTTACGAGTTTGAATGAATGGCCAAAACAGGTCGTGAATTTCTAAAAACCTAAAAGCGATTATTGATACAGTGGCCGAATTTTTGTCCGAATAAATAAAATAATAATAATAAATTTATTATAAAATAATATTTTATAATAAATTTATTAAAAAATATTATTATTTTATTTATTCGGATAAAATTTCGAACACAAGATTCGAAAGTTAAATCATTACTCATATGCGATAAGCACAATAGTACAGAATAAACTGTTAATAAAAAGTGCGTGCTTATTTGATTGTCACTCAATCAATTTCACACTCTGTCACGCTGTAAAATTTGTGGCTAATGTTCTTTTAGATTATGCCAGAATTATTATGTTTTCAAATTTCATCAAAATCTAAAACAACCAAACACTAACTAGTAAATATTAATAATAGAAAAATAGAAAGAAATTCACATCCAGTATTTTCATTTCAAAGATTAAAGACTTTATGTTCTAATTGTAGAGGGGGGTTGTGAATTTGAACGTAGCTTATTTTATGGTAAAATAAAGAACTGTGCTTCCTGTAGAAGTCCAACAAGATGGTACAGTCTTCGCTTAAGGTGATTTAAAGAACAAACCAGATATAGTAACTTAATAGTTAAACGCTTAGGAAGGCAGAAAAACTAAAATTAAAAAAAAAATTCTATAGATTTGTCCCTGATTAATGATTATAGTCAAAATTCTAAATTATCAAGAATTTTGTCCAATACAAGATAATGAATACGATTTGTGCCAACAGAGATGATACACGAGAAAGATACATACGAACAAACACTCCAAGTCATGAAACTAAACAGAACCAGAGTTATTATTTCCATGATTCCATCAATTTCACTAGGCCACTTTACAAATGTCCTCATATTCCATGGCTTTAAGTACCCTACCATCATAGGGACCTTTCTCAATCTGCACCTTGGCACAAAACTTATCTGTATCCACCCCCAACAGCTTAGCAATTGATCCTCGATATGCACCATTGACTATTTTAACCCTACCCCCAACTTGGGGAATCACAGTTTCAAGCTCAGCCTGATCAACTCTGAGCACATGCTTGCTTTCAAGCATTTCTATTTCCCCAACATACTTATCAATCACCTTCCGAACAACACCCTTTTGTTTGTAATACCCCTTCTCTGCCAAAACTTTGCTCATAACCTTAACAACAATTCCCTCGTGCAACCAATAATCCTTCCGGTTAATTTTTTCCTTTTTCTTCTCTTCATCCCTCATCATTTCATCCAGAGTTGATTTTCCACCGCCACTTTCTTTCCTCTTCAAATTGTTTCCACGATTCCTTTCCTCATATTTCTCTTCATCAACCTCATCAAACACCACCCTTGAAGCCTCACGTTTTTCCTTGACCACTGGTCTAGCTGATGATGACCCAAGAGAAAATCCTATCTTAATTCCATCTTCCATAATTAGTTCCCTTGGAGGCTCAACTTGTGAAGGCTGATCAATCTCAGGATTAGGCAGCTGCATCATTTGCTCAGCCATTTCAATCTGTTTCCTGATCTCCTTCTCTTGCTTTTCTTCATCCGCCATATCTGCCTTTATTCTCTTATTCTTCATCCTCTCCTTGAAAAGGGTTTCAGAATCTCTATCTATGTATGTAATGAACCATCCCTTGGGTGTCTCCTCAACCTTACATTTACCGGTTCGACCCAAGTACTTAACAAACTCAGTAAGCGTAGCCCACTGAGTGGAGTTCATATGAACATGGTGTCTATCATTTATGTATTCGTTATAAACTACAGTGGCTGCCACACGGCTGAATCGGTGGCTGCGCTTCATGTGCTCCAGAAAAGATGTCTCAAACTCTTCAGAATAGCCCTCAACTATTCGGTGTGGGTTTTGGCCAAAAATTTGCATTTGACGCTGGTGGCTTTCACTCATGCAATGACATTTAAACCCATTCTCATCTCGGCATTGCTTCTGGCACATCTGGCAATACCACCGAAGCTTCTGCAATCCTTTTGCTTTGATTCTATTGGCAATTGCTTTAGGTGTGAGAAACTCATTTTTCCCCATCACGAATCTGGATGTAACATTTCAGATCAAACAAAATGATATTATTAATCCTTCCCACGCAATAAAAACAGAATTGCAACAACAGCTAAAATTCTTAAAGCATTGGAATTGGAAAACAAGAAGCAGCAGAGTTTTGGAGCAAGCATCCATATTGAAACTAATCAATCAAATTTCATGTAATTATGACAAGCACACTATGAATAATATTTACTTCTGCACTCAATTGCTAATTAAACACATGGCTTTGTCCAAGCAAACGAAAACATCTAATGTACAAAACATTCCAACACAAACGAATCAGGTCAGAGCTTTTTTCATTATTCAGCCATTAGCAGACTACAGTCATCCATTACAAGGACTTCATTTGTTATGCAGCTTTGTAGGCACCTTAAATTCTATTCCTGCCGCAGTTCGCTGATATTACATTTCTTGAGTATGGTTGGCTTCAACAAAATATTGAGAGAAACACAAATAATGCAAAGATAAACCATCCCATCCCTATTTTATAGAAGGGAGCCATCACATAACAGTATCATGTTCCGGGCATACTACAATTACAAAACAAATAATGCACAGATGTTTCAAAGCAGCATCATAAATCTAAAATTAAATAATTAGGATATGATAACTGAAGAATACAACATAAACAAGTTGACCTTCTCCCTCACACGTTAATTGAAATCCTTCAAAGTTCGAGCTCATCATAAATAAAGCAAAGATACGGATGCAAACTCAGAGGAACTCGATTATTTAGATTCCAAACAAGATGAGTGGGTAGTAAGCACTAATCGATGAGGAATTCCACTGGTCAAATAAATAAATACAGAATGAAAATAAAAGAGAGAGAACGGACCTGGCGGTGGCGGCGTGAGCAGCAGTGATGTATTTGATCGGAACGGAGGCCTCTGTATAACAGAAGATTAGATGTTTAGAGAATGAAAATGAAAATGAGAAGAAAAGGAATCGGAGGAGGGTTGGGAACGCCCGGAAGAGGGTTGGGAACGCCGGCGTCGAAGAAGGAGAGGTTTGTGGCTGTTTAGGGTTTCAAATCAATCCAATCCCTAAACCAGTATTCCTCAAAATTTATCTGAGGACTGGGTTTTTAAAAGTTAAAACTTCATTGTGATAAACAAAAAAACAAAAGCTACATAATTAAATATTTATCTTGAAACATTAAATATTTATTTTACATAATTAAAATTTATAATTTACCATACAAATAAATATTATATTTAAAATTTGTAATAAACAAATATTTTTAATATATAAGTTATATTTAATATTTAAGATAATTATTTATGCTGTAATATAAGATTTTTTAATTATTCATACTTTATATAAAAATATTGAAATTTAGCTTAGTAATTACAAAAGGGTAAATTGAAATAGATAAAAATTATCAATAAAAAAAAAATCAAAAACTTCTTCATTTACTCCTATGTATTAACTATTAAGCACAAAAACTTCTCACAATAGCATTGCTAGATTTTTTTTTTTCATGACAAGATTTGTAAAAAAATATTTTAACTTCTTATCAAATTAAAATTTTATTTATTATATTTAATTATAAATTAAATTTTAATATTATAAAAATAACTTGCATTAGAATATAAATTATTTATTTAAAACATAATATATATGTTTAAAAATATTTATGTATACAAATTTTAAATATAATTTATATATTTAAATATATATATATATATATATATATTTATATTAATTTTAGTCATATATAATAAAAATCAAATTTGTGTTTTATACAAACTAAAATACTAATTAAAAAATATTCATTAAATCAAAACTTCTAAAATATTTTATCATATAATATAATTATTATCATTTATACACATTTGTATGATATGATGTAAAATTTTATATATTTTATCTAAAAGTTTTTTATAATTAAATTTGTATAGTTTAGATTTTAATGAAATGTGTATTACTACAGTTTATGAGATTTTTTTTATTTAATAAGGAGATGTAACTCTCTCTTATTCCATTGCTACTTTATAGTTAAGTTGAAAATCGAATCACAGTTATTAATTAGGGAAATTTAAAAAAAACTTTATAAGTATGTACAAGTTTTAGTAAATATGTAAACCTAATTAGTAAATATTTATAAACATGTATTATCAATTTCTTCATAAATTTAATTGTGGTGTACAAACAATTTTATATCATCATTCAATCATAAATTATTTTTATTAAATATTATAAAATTATCAACTTTTATAATAATTATTAAAAGTCATATTAACAATAAATTTTAATCTCTACCATTACACTCTTCATTCTAAATTCACTTACCTCGATTTAATAGTGAGTGACTAAAACAGTATGCTCAGATGTTGGAATCATATTATCGTTATTATAATTATAAATAAATAAAAAATTAAAATTTTTTTAAAAAAAACCTTTATTCTTTATGTAATCATTTTTTCACCGAGTTAACGGACCAACAGGCAACGGAAACAGAAAAGACAAGTAACATGAAATATAAACAATTGGTTATGAATAATTAGTAAATATGTGCAATTGAAAAGAATAAAAACACTTACTTTTGCCGATTGGCAGTATTTGAAAACTTTTGAAAGGGCTAACTTTTATATTGTATGGTAACTACCACTTATTTCTTATAAAAAGAACAGGTAGATGTTAAATCCACAAAGCAATTTCCGTAAATAAATATATTATTAGAAAGTTAATATCACCTGGTTCCTCGTCCACAAACAGAAATTCCCATACTTTAGTTCTAATAATCTACCGAGTTACTGATTAATCTTCCAAATACATTTGTGTCTCCACGAAAGTTAAACTATTAAAAAAGAGCCCAAACATTTAAAAATATTTATGTATACAAATTTTAAATATAATTTATATATTTAAATATATATATATATATATATATATTTATATTAATTTTAGTCATATATAATAAAAATCAAATTTGTGTTTTATACAAACTAAAATACTAATTAAAAAATATTCATTAAATCAAAACTTCTAAAATATTTTATCATATAATATAATTATTATCATTTATACACATTTGTATGATATGATGTAAAATTTTATATATTTTATCTAAAAGTTTTTTATAATTAAATTTGTATAGTTTAGATTTTAATGAAATGTGTATTACTACAGTTTATGAGATTTTTTTTATTTAATAAGGAGATGTAACTCTCTCTTATTCCATTGCTACTTTATAGTTAAGTTGAAAATCGAATCACAGTTATTAATTAGGGAAATTTAAAAAAAACTTTATAAGTATGTACAAGTTTTAGTAAATATGTAAACCTAATTAGTAAATATTTATAAACATGTATTATCAATTTCTTCATAAATTTAATTGTGGTGTACAAACAATTTTATATCATCATTCAATCATAAATTATTTTTATTAAATATTATAAAATTATCAACTTTTATAATAATTATTAAAAGTCATATTAACAATAAATTTTAATCTCTACCATTACACTCTTCATTCTAAATTCACTTACCTCGATTTAATAGTGAGTGACTAAAACAGTATGCTCAGATGTTGGAATCATATTATCGTTATTATAATTATAAATAAATAAAAAATTAAAATTTTTTTAAAAAAAACCTTTATTCTTTATGTAATCATTTTTTCACCGAGTTAACGGACCAACAGGCAACGGAAACAGAAAAGACAAGTAACATGAAATATAAACAATTGGTTATGAATAATTAGTAAATATGTGCAATTGAAAAGAATAAAAACACTTACTTTTGCCGATTGGCAGTATTTGAAAACTTTTGAAAGGGCTAACTTTTATATTGTATGGTAACTACCACTTATTTCTTATAAAAAGAACAGGTAGATGTTAAATCCACAAAGCAATTTCCGTAAATAAATATATTATTAGAAAGTTAATATCACCTGGTTCCTCGTCCACAAACAGAAATTCCCATACTTTAGTTCTAATAATCTACCGAGTTACTGATTAATCTTCCAAATACATTTGTGTCTCCACGAAAGTTAAACTATTAAAAAAGAGCCCAAACAACTACAGATAGATTAAAAAAATGGTCATGAAACATTACCCAAGTCATAATTATGTTATATAACTCAAATCATGTAAGGGATCCTTTCCTACATTCAAATCAGTACGCTGTCTATGCAATCCGGCATTTTTTTTCCCCTGAAAATCTACACAGCCGACTTGTATGTCCAATACTCAGGTCTTAGTAGAATAGTTTCCACCAAATCATAAAGCTGTTCTAACATTACATATTCTCATCAAGACATAAGAAAAAAAATCCTCATAACAAGAGAATGACTCAAGGTTGTACAAGCAACAATCACTTCGTAAGTACAAGCTGGATATTAAATCGCGCGTAAGATGTCCAGCGTCAATATCTTCAGATTACCAGCAAAAAGAAACCTGCCATGATAGTTTCAAATTTTCTATTTAGTACGAACAAATATGAGAGACGTCAGATAACCAATTAAGTCACAAGATAAAGCACGCCAAACATGCACAAGATGTTTAAAAAAATATATGCGACACCATAGGTACCAAGCTACTACACGCAAGCAGAATACAGTCAGTTTCAATCAAATGCAACCATAATTTTCCAATAAACGGTGAACTTGCTGAAATAACGCAGTCCAACAATGACAAACGTCAAAGATGTGTGAAAGAATATACAGGAAATGAAGGACAAAAACCACATAAATCTTTTTCAACAATCATACATAATTCTACCACGTCAAGTTAAATATGAACAACCAAAAATGAAGTTGAGAAGCTAAATAATATTAGGAATGTCAGTTCAAGTTGCATAATGAGACAAGGATGGGCACAAATAGAGATCACGTTAAGAAAGTAACCAAAAAAAAAGTAGTAAATTACATTCTATAGATCACGTAGAACACCACAATAATATCCCCCACCAAATATTTTAGAAAATCGACCACTAGCATGTAATAATATTTTAGAAAGTAACCATTGCTGAATCACAAGTTAAAATATAATGAATATATAATGCATTCCCTTAATAACACATTTGAATTTAGGTGCCAATTATGGAATCTTAAGTGCAAATCACCAACATGTCAACCATATTATTAGATTACTTAGTATATTATAATTATACATGAAATTCAAATATTTTAGATAGAAACATAGGAATTTACATTGGGTATTATCAAACTAGGGTATGTACTATGATCAAAACAATCAACTATGCTATAATACACATAACATAAGCACTATACCAAATCATTTTCAAGGAGAGGCCAACCCTGAAATGATATGGCGAGTAGCAGGGATGGTAGTTATTATGACCAATTACAATAAAAATAAATAAATAAAAAATTAAAGGGCAAAACTTAGAGGAGAGCACGTGAAAGGAAGAAGAAATACCAGTATAAGATAAATTAAAAAACAGAAAAATGCATGGACAAAACAAAGCAAGATAGCAAAAGTCACGGGAGCTAAAAATAATGACAGGTTTTCCAGAAAATGACCACGGAATACTCAGGGATGATAGAAAACCATGGAGAATGGAAATTGGAGATGAACTATCACAGTAGACCAGAAAATGCTGGGAGATACAGGAAATGTTGCCTGCGAAGGGTGGGTGTTTGTCATAGAGAACAGTACGTGCCACTTCATAACAGAGTGTGCACAAGTGCCAAACAAAGAAAAATCACCATTATGTGTATAACAGGTAACTGGCGTGGTGTAATGGTATTATTTATTTTAAACATCCAAAGGATAAATTCAAACCCACCATTGCACATTAGATGAATTATTTCTTATTCATGAATGAATGTATGTGGTGCTAAATTGAATTTGAATTGTTGAACATTGGACAGTGTGTGTGCCTTGTTGCATGAGATTGTGTTTGTCAACATATTGGGCAGCATGTGCATGTGGTAGCATGATTTGCAGGACATATTGCACATTTGATGAATTATTTCCTATTCATGAATGATTGTATATGGCGCTTATATGAATTTGAATTGCTTAACATTGGACAGTGTGTGTAGTGTTGCATGGGATTGTGTGTGCATCACCGTATTGGGCAGTATGTGTGTGTGTATGGAGTAGCATGCTTTGTAAGACATTGAGCTAGCCAGACTGATAGAATAGAATGTCTACATACTAGTCAAGTTTCACCATTTATTCTGGTTTCCTACCAAGCATATCACAGCACCGAGTCTATTGCAGTTCAGATCCAATAGGCTGACTGGACGGGCTATAGATCCGGTTCCAGTACAAGGTTAATAATAACTATGCTCCCACCTAATTCTAATTTCACAAATTTCTTATGAACCATTCAAGTTTTCCTTCTACCCATCACTACCTCTTACAGAAGAAGTGATGAAAGAATGGGTATTAAATCAGGTTGAACAATGTTTTAAAAAATACCCCGTGGATTTCGGCCACAATGTTAAGGTTTTAGGAGTGCTTACACCGCAGGATCGCAGCCACACCTGTCCACAATTTTTCCCAACAGTAAAGAATGCAACAAACTTATAAACAGCAACAATGTCACTAAATAATATCATGAATGTTACTGCATCTGAAAACCATGAGGCTGAAAATTTCACATTGTATTTTAAATCAAACTTAATTTCGGAATAAAACATTCAAACATACATTACTTCACTTCAAAACAAATTCTGCTAACACACAGTCTCAACGAAACCTAAAAGAGAGGAATGAGCAAAACAGCACAAACCAACCTATCAATCCCTTCTCCCATTACTGTTGCTGTTGATTCGGAGGGTTTGGCGGAGGGGGCATGCCAGGTCGAGGAGGACCATACACCGGAACACCACCTCCAGGTGGTGGTGGCATGCCGGGGCGAGGCGGTGGCGGAGCGGGCATCCCGGGACGAGGCGGCGCCGGAGGACCCCTTACCATCTGACCAGGAGGAGGAGGCCCCATGGGACGCTGTCCAAACTGTGGCGGAACAGGGTAAGGCTGCGGCGGAGCACCGCCGGGCCTGGGAGCGTATTGCCCGGGCGGCATCGGCGGAGGAGGTCCCCTCGCCATGGGAGGCGGGCCCTGGCCGGGGTACCCCGGCATCTGGCCCGGCGGGCGCATCACCGGCGGCGGAGCGCCGGGGTAAGACACCGGCGGCGCGTTGAGCTGCGGCAGGCACGAGATCTGAGACTGCATCATTTCGGGAAGGGGG